CACCACCACCACCACTACCACAACCCAGACTATTACCACTGCTGTTGCCTCTGCCTCCGCTTGTTGCAGAACTTCCGCATCAGCCTTCTCTCCTTCCGCTTTGTCGTCTTCGTCGTCCTTGAAAAAGGCGAAGTCATCGTCCTCCCCTGACTCAACCTTGGGAATGTTCTCAGCCTCCAATAGCTCATCAGGGTAAAGATTCCATGGATCCAATGGCTCCTCCACCGGAGCCTCCCCGATGGCCTGGAAATGTGGAACCTCATCTTGCTCTATGATCACGTGAGGATGCTCTTCACAAAGGTCTGCAAGGGATATCAACTCAGGATCTTCGCAGAACGGAGCTGCATCTTGTGTGTCGGAATGCGCAGAACGATCCTCAGGTTTAAGGGTTTTCTTGGCATTTTGGGGGCGGTGAGAGCGGTGAGGGCGATGAGGCGCCACCCCTGCGGCTGCTGCGGCAGCAGATGCTGCTACTGTGCGACTGTGCCACTGTGCCACTGCTATAACAACTACAGCTAGTAATTATCATTACGATTACTGCTACTATTTCTAGTACCACAGGTGATAACGATGATTACAACTGCGAGGAGAGGGTAGAGGAGGAGGAGGAGGAGGAGGAGGAGGAGGAGGGGGAGGAGGGGGAGGGGGAGGGGGAAGGAGATGATGTGGAGAGGCTACTGCTGTCGACGGCTATATGGTTACAAAGACAATGATAACTACGACAAAAGCGTGAACTCCGCCCGTAAGTGCTACTGCAGGTCTACTGCAATACTGTGGCTATGGCAACAACTATGGCCAGCTACTTCGTTCTTGCTAAAAATACACTTACTCCATGAAGACCTGCACAGTGTTGGCCCAAGGTCATTGACTTGCGATCCGTGTCCAGCCTCACTGGATCAGATTATCTCAGGCCGCTACCCACTCCATGATCACAGGTAGAGTTTAGGGCTTCGGGCTTTAGGGTTTCCTCTCAACAGAGTTTGTCGGCTACCACACTCACGACTCACGCGGAGTAAGTGCTTCTGGAACAGCACTCGGCATTGTGGTGCTAGGTCGGGGTTCCTGTTGTGAAGGACTTGTAAAAGTTTTGCGTGCTTGGAAGATCTTACGTGGAGATTCTCTTGAACTGTTTGCATGCTATCCTTGCAGGCCCTGCTGGAAGAGGCAAGCAAAAAAGATCTCTTAGACAAACAAACCGAACCTCAATGAACAAAAGGATCCCTAAAGCCTAAAATCCCCGAACCAAAAAACTTTGAATCCGTTGAACACCGCATACCCCTGCATCTCCTCATGAGCTTTAGAAAGCCCCAAAGCCGAAAATTTGCTGTAGTCTTCAATTCAAACCTAGGTCAAAAAGCCAGAAAAGTTCCTTGGGGTTTGGGGTGGTCTGTATACACAGCGTTTTCATTATCACTTTTCTACATCTATGGTTCTGGATAGGCATATTACGAAAGACTCGTGTTCTTTAAGGCCAAACCCTATTTCAACCCTAAGCTCCAAACCCTTAACCCTATTAAATCCTGAGCCCCCATATCCCTTTTAGCCCTAAAACCTGCCAGCTTGCCGTACGATGCTCGAAGGCACTTCGGTCTAGGGCTTCAGGGCTTCGGGTTTAGGGCTTCAGGTTGAGGGTTAAATATGGCTTATAGGGTCTAGGACTTAGGGTTTAGGGCGTAGGGTTTAGGTCTTAGGTTTTGGAGGTTTGGGGCTTGGGGATTACAAGTTATGAGCCTTATTCCCCCAAACCCTTTTTGCAACCCTAAACTCTAAAACCTTCAAACCTAAACGCAAACCTTCCCTTCTTATGGTCAGGTTTTCGCTCCACTGCAGCGTGGCTCTGGAAGCTGGAGCCTGAGGAATGCTCCAAAGGTTCCGACGGTTACTATTCTCTTATACAGGGGTTATATAGGGTTATCTAGGGTTATCTAGGGTTATATAGGGTTTAGGGTTTAGGGCTTAGGGCGTCTTGCTGGCGGCGGCTGGAGGTAACATGTAGAAATGGCGCCCCGACAAATTCAGGGGCCCCAAAACCATGACCCTTACGATCGCAGTAGTAGTGTCGTGGAGACTGTCATTAGGATGTACTATGGTTATTTCTACTAACATTCCATGTGTGGCAGGGCTCCGGAATGTTGATTCGTGATTTTTTGTGTGTGATTCCATGTAATTTTAGCCAGGTTCCTTTGTGATTTCGATGACCCCTGCTAAAGCCCTAAACCTGGTATTTTGTCACGCCACGCCCTGAGCCCGAAACGCAAAGCCCGGAACTGTAAACCCCCGGCTCATGTACCCTTTAAATAGGGTTCAGGGTTGATGGTAGAGGCCACAAGATCGCAATATGACTTGTAGTCTAAACTCTCTAAAGGGTGGTTATATACGGGATTCTATAGTATAGGGGACTACTATAGGGGTTATTAAGGGGGATATTAGGAGTTTCGACTCTTGCTCATATGGCTCTGTGGTACGTAGCCCATAATATCCTATGAGCCGTGAATACCCCAAACCGTGAATATAGAAGCCTTTACAATCCTAGATAATCTTGAACCTTTAGCCCCTAGACCCTAAACCCCAAAACGCAGCTGAGGCGCCGGTGAAGCTGCTGGGTTCATGTGGAGAGGCATGCAAAACGGGCGAAAGCACACACTTGCGAGTGGAATTATTTGGTTGACAGCAAGACCCCCTAAAAGATCCCACAAATGGAACCTCCCAACAATCCACAAGTTCACCCAACATTAATAGTTGGGTTCGTTTTGGGGTGGGGCGTCCATTTTTGGGTCTCTTTTAGGAGGTCAGGGGTTTGGATACGCTTGTGCTTGTGAGGCAACACTTCGCGATCTTCATGGATGCCTGCCTGCTTCGCATCTTACAGGGCGACCGCGGCATTTTGAGTCGAGGAGTGGTAGTTTCCCTTAATAGGGGACCCCAATAAAGACCCAAAGATATTATACTCCTAATTCTGGGGGCCCCTAGGATGGTACCCTCAAGTTTAGGGTTTAGGGTTTAGGGTTTAGGGTTTCCCCAAGTTGTGGCAAGCATGACCTGATGGACGTCGGGAAGCCGTTTGCACGGAGTAGCTTTGAGTCAGCATAGCCTCGCAGATTTGTTATTCTTGGGGTTATATGGGGATAATGGAAAAGAAAATGGAAAGTATTATTTTATGTTATTTAGGGTTTAGAATGGTACCTCTTGGGGTCCCCATAAGGATCATTCTATTGGGAATGGAGGAATGGATCCATACACTATTCCTCATAGAACCAATGAGAGTTTGGTAGTTGGCATTTTCTGTAACATTCCCAGATTGTTAGCAGGGAACGGAAGAGTGGATGGCTGCAGTAGTCCTCACATACTCATCTTCCCTATACCTTCAGCTTTGCGGATGCTTTCCGGCTTCAGCATCAGACGACACACATAGAGAGTTTGGTGGTGTCGCAAGGCCTCTGAAGGACAGCTAGGCAAGCAAAGTAGTCGTGGACCGTGACAGCACATCGCGTCATGAACTTGTCGAGAAGAAGCTGCATGCCCGTTCCGCGCAACAAGCGCTTCAAGCTACATAACGATAGGACATTAGCTTCCAAGGTGGGAAAGCGGCGCTAGTTTGCTTCCGGCTGAGCCATGGTGCAGTTTCCGTGGAGCTCATCGGCACGAGGAGATGATGAGCGTGTCTATTCGGAAGCGTTTGATGTGAGTCCTGCAGCGGCGCTCGATGGAGTGCGTGATGAGCTGGTGCCTTGCACGCAGCTACTCTGTGGGCTTTGTAGGGCATTGGTTCGCCTCCTTATTAGGCGTCATCCCCACTTCTGCCACATGACTTCGGCTTCTACTTCAGCAGGAGGAGCAAGAGCAGCGATAGTCATAGTTCTGGAGGTGTGCACGTGGTAGTTGTGTTTTTTTTTGTTTGTCGTCGTTGTTGTCGTGGTGGTGGTGGTGGTGGTGGCGGCGGCGGCGGTGGTGGTGATTGTTATTGTTGTTGTTGGTATTGTTTTCATTCTTCTCAGACCCCAATGGCTTCTTTGCGATTGGGCTTCCAGCCGATGCCCGTTATCCTACCCCAAACAAACATGAAAGGCCCACATGGTAGGTTGCCAAAGCTGTGGTCGCTTTCTCGCCGCCATCATGGTACGTCCATATTCAGTTCCCGTAAAAAGGTTAGTAGCCTTTGTAGGACATTGTAGGGCCCACGTTGAACTTCCTTTTTTTAGGGAAGGTACTCGTAGTATCTCGTAGTTCAACAAGACTGCCGGCCCTTGCTTTGTCACACGATTTTGTGTGTTTCGGGTCCGAGGAGAGGTTATCAATTTTAACGATCTTAAGTGGTAGGCAGAGGCAGTTCATGAGAAGGCCCTGCACGCCACATAAGGCACTTGTCTATTTTAGGGGCCAGTGAAGCCTTTCATAATGTAGCCTAATGATGGCCTAATGTAGGGGCCTGATACTTACCAATACTATGGTCTGAGATTCCTTGTATCACTATGGCATTGGACATTGGGTACTTCAAGAAGACCTCACAATGATATTGCTCATTATTTTGGCCCCGGTATTGCACCCGTAACTGTGTGAACCTGCACCTGGGCCCTGCCAGCCAACTCTCTCCAAGGACACGTTTTTCACAAGGATGCAGCAAAGGCTAGAGTCTCTCCAGTCTGCATTGGCCGCACAGCCAAGCCCAGCAGCGTGTACAATTTCCACAGCCAGCACGGAAGGCAGCACAGAACTGCCGTCACAGGGTTCTGGCCCTCCAACCTTGCACAAGCAGAAGAGTCTGCAGCCGTCTGCAATTCTGGCAAGTCAGGGTGTGAAAATGGCCGAGGAGATCTTGAACGAAAGTCAGAATGGGTCCAACAAGCGCTACGTCGTGTCATGCGGGGTCAAGCAAGATGGGCAAGAAGTACGTCTTCATGGCAGGTGGATGGAGCTATCAACGCAACGTGTGGACAACGTGTCGGTGGCAGCTGTGGCTGCAAGAAAGACGAAGAAGAGAATCATCAAGAAACGGGGTTCCAGCGACCTCTTCCCTGCCATTGGAGTACTTAGTGGTTTTCCTCCCATACTGCCAGCAAGCACGTTCAGATTACTATGGGATGCTTGTGGCTTTGGTTTCATTCTCCTGGATGCATTTTTGCTGCCTGTGGCAATTGCTTGGGGTGTCCAGCAGACCTGCAGCATTGATTTCGGTCGCTGCTTTTTGTTGCTGGGCTGCTATTCGGGAACGTAGATTGAGTTAGCATGATATGGATATATGCTAAATGCTGATTTTTCTGAGAGTGGTGACCTAATTTAAGTTCCTTATCAGCAACCAAGGTTGTTCACATTCTGGCTCAGCATGTGCTTCTGGATTGCGGATGTTCCGCTGAACTTTAACACTGCGTTTTATCTCAAGGGGGAGCTGGTTACAGACCGTGCGCGGATAGCTCGCCACTACATTCAAACATGGCTAGTATTCGATCTCTCGCTCATCCTACTAGACTTGCTGACGGCAACGCAGGCAGAGATCGGAGACTGGGAAGCTCTTAGATATGCTCGCATTGTTAGAGCATTCAGATTACTCAGGTTGCTCAAAATGTCCAAACTACAAGACATATTGCAAGAAATGGCAGCATCCACTGGCCGTCAATGGATCATGTTGGTCATTGCCATTGTGAACACGACTTTCATTATTCTTGTAGTGGCACATGTGCTGACTTGCATTTGGTGGTGGCTGGGGAGATTGGTGGATGCTGATGAAAGCCTGGGATACAAAAGCTGGATAGTGGAGTCCGCAGCAGACACAGCAGGTGCCGAATGGATTCAATATCTACATGCATTCCGTTATGTCATCAATGCACCATCTCCGCCGACAGTTGCTGCGGCAACTGGGTTGCTGTTAAGGAACTGAATTTAAGTTACCATATTGGGGAAACCCTATTATTTGCTAGATCTACCCATTGTGGTAACTTAATTTAGGTTCCTTAACAGCAACGTAGGCAAGTGGTATGGAGCGCGTCTTCGACATCCTTGCATATGTCTTTTCCTTGGTGGTCATTGGCTCATCAGTTTCAGCCATTGCTAGTACCCTAAACGAGCTCAAGGCCATGAACGAGGCAAGTGCCCGCCAGCGCAGAGAAATCCGAATTTATCTCACGAGTCAGAGCGCGTCTTTCGAGCTAGTCTCGCGCATCATGAAGTTCGTAGATTACAAGCTCAAGAAGATGTCGTTTGCAACGTTTGACCCGGCATTGATCTCACCGACCCTGCAGACGGAGTTGTTCGTCGGCCAGCGCAGCAAGTACCTGAAGAATCTGCCAGTTCTTTCCTTATGTGATGAACTATTCCCGGATGTGTTTGCCCGAATTTGTGCTGCCCTGACCAAGCACGTCTTCGAACAGAAGGAGTACGTGTACACAGCAGGCTCATGGAGTACACACTTCTACATCTCCACGGCTGGTGTATTCAACTATGTGGAAGGCTTTGACGCAGATGCACCCCCCATAGAGGTCCAAGGTGGGAGTCTCCAAGAAAAGTTAGTGTTTCATGACAGGGTTGTATCGGGCAATATAGGGGCTATAGGGATTTAGTGATGGGTTTGGGGTTCAGGGCCTAGGGTTCATAATCCTATGTATGATATTGTATGATATAATTCCTAGTAGAAAGATTTCCAATTATTAAGAAGTAGTTTGACTTGGGACATTGTAGTACCCTGGTATAAAGTAGGATCAGATCTTCCTACCACAATGTATTTCATAAGAATATAGGCTTATTTGGTTCGATCACGTGATTCACGATCTTATACTACCCCCAGAATTCCCTGATCAAAGTTATCTGGGATTATATAACAATCCTGCGCCAGTTGATTGCCTGGCGTGCCCCGAAGTGCAAAGTGTGGGGCTTTTAGTTGGAAAAGCAAAAAGAGGAAACTTGAATAATAACAACAGCAATACGTTGCAAAAAGTTGGAAGAAAATAAGAGTAAAATGAAACGCTAACAACAATTCTGGTCAGGCAGAAAGGAACAATGTTTTTGACTTTTAACTAATACAACCCCATTCGTGGACAGGGCCAAGTAGGGCTAATTGAGGGGAAGCCTTGGGGGAACTAGTCCAGGAGGCCGACCCAAACCCAGACCCTGAACTTGTGGAACAAACCTAGGCACCAAATCACAAACCTTAAAACCAATGCCTACGCCCCAAACCCTAGACATCAAACTCCAAACCCGAAGCCCTAAACCCTGCAGAGTTGTTGCAGTTACGCGGGAGGGAAAAAGCATTACAATCAGTTGATATTAACATTACTGCTATTATTGTTACAATTATTATTACTAGTATTAGTATAATTACTAGAATTACTATAATAGCAAAAAGAGAGCAAACACCCACGAGGTGCCCCAAACCCTAAACCATCGGGAACGAACCGTGCCTGCTTGGAGCGATGCACGTGCCCAAGCCCTAAACCCTAAATAGTAGACCATTATCCGTATATGATCTATCGTCTAAAACTCTTTACGTGGGTATCTAGTAGGGGACTACCATGGGGTTATTAAGGAGGGTACTAGGAGTGTAGAAGTTCAAACTATAGCTCATATACTCCCTATATAAACCCTGAGGTGAGCAGTACTTCGCCGAGCTCAGCCTCTACGCCGAGGCAACGATGCACCAGGCCACCCTCACCGCAGTGGCCTGGCTTGTTCAAAAACTTCAAGTTTGTACGCTTAATGCTTGTAACCCTAGGCTTTGGGTCCCAAATACCATTATTAAGGACCATATTCCATGGCTTAGGGACCCAAACCCGAGGGTACAAACCCTAAGGGTACAAAGGATAACTCCCTGACTTGTGGTTTTAGGGTTTTGGGGTCGGGGTTTCGGGTTTAGGGATCGTGGGTTTGGGGTTGTATGGGGTTG